TTTCTTGCTTTCTTCCCTTCCACAATCCATTGCTTTAAACACCAAAAAACACATGGGAATTGCAAGTAAGTGAGAAGATCAATGCTCTCTTTTTCTCTTGCTTAAAAATCTGTATTTCTTCTCTTTTACTCTGATCTTATATACCAGAATCTTCCTACATTTGGTAAATCCTGATAGCATCTGTAGTTTGAAGACTGTGAGCAACCAGTTTCTGTTATGCGTTTGAACACACACACACACAGATGCACTCAGATGCACATGATAATGATGCGCATGTTGAGAGATGCTATCAGTTGTAAACAGATTTCTCAACCACAAATAGCACAAGACTCTGAGCGCCAGGGATGACTGTTCATAAAACAAACCCATCAGCTTTGTCCTTGTTCAATAACCAGCTGCATGAGAAAGTTCTAAGGAAGGAGAAAGCAAGATTGCAGGTGTTCACAGCATTTGCAGTGAAGCTGGAAGGGTGGCCAACCAGTGGCAAGAAACTTATCGATCTGTTGCAGAATGAAGGTGTCATCGCTGCTGGAACAGGGTAGGGGATAGGCAATGGGTACCATCATGATCACAGCTGTGAGGAACGAGGGCACACTATGTCCGTCAACTTTAGATCATTTGTACTCCTCACACTGTCAGATGTTTCTAAATATTCCTTCCCAGTTTGCCTTCAGATTTTGTAAAGCATGGTCCACAAACAAAACTCCACAAGCAGATGCAGTAAGTTCAGGGGAAATGGTGCTCATTGTTTTGTGCTGTTATCATTGCAAGGTTAATAAGATAGCACTTTGATATTACCACACAGTCTTGAGTCATGGAGCAACCAGTTTCCGTTATGCCTTTAAACACCCACTAGTTACGAGGTTGGTAAACAGGGTTCAGAGTTGCAAGATGCATCAAGCTGCAGGCATTATTACACCTCTACAGCAGCTACTGCATTTATCTACAGTAGAAAATAGGGAAAAATATAAAGCAGTAGTGACTGGAGTTCCTCAAGATGCAGAGCCTACTTTCTCCATGCTTGAACAGAATCACAGAATCACAGAATCACAGAATAGTAGGGGTTGGAAGGGACCTCTGTGGGTCATCTAGTCCAACC